GGGTTCGATCCTCAGCACCACATACAAACAAAGATGTTGTGTCCGCCAAAAACTAAAAAATAAATATTAAAAAATTCTCTCTCTCTCTCTCTCTCTCTCTCCCCCCCCCTCTCTCTATCTTTAAAAAAAATTATGTACTAAGGATTGAAACAGAAAATTATGATAATATGCATTTATGAATATATCAAAATGAACTACACTATTATTCATCATTATAATATACTAAAAATAAATTTTAAAAATTTAACTAAAAAAGAACACAAACCAATTAAAACAGTGGGCAAAGGACCTGAACCAATATTTCTCCAAAGAAAATAAACAGATGGCCAACAAACACAGAAGATGCTCAACTTCACTAGGGAAATACTCAAATTCTAACTACAATGAAATGCCACTTTACACCCATTATTGGGATAACTACTATCATAAAAGAAAAGCAGGGGTATGTGGGGGTGCTAACAAGTATTGGCAAGAATGTGTTGCTGAGACAGGAGGATTGCAAAATCAAAGCTAGCCTCAGCAACGCAGCAAGGCACTAAGCAACTYGGTAATACAAAATAGGGCTAGGGATGTGGCTCAGTGGTTGAGTGCCCATGTTCAATCCTTGGTAACTGCCCCACCYCATGTGGAAAAACTGAAACAAGTGCTGTTGGTGGGAATGTAAAAATGGTACAGGCACTATGGAAAACAGTAACTCAGGCCCTAAGCAACTCAGTGAGACCTTTGATAATACAACGTGTATATGTTAAGGAGTATCCATTAAAAAAGAACTGCAGATGTGGCTCAGTGGTTAAGTGCCCCTGAGTTCAATCCCCAGTACCAAAAAAAAAAAAAGGGGGTGGAGGTTGGGGGGATGTAGCTAAGTGGTACAGCACTTGCCTAAGCATGCACAAGGTCCTGGGTTCAACCCCCAGCAACAAAAACAAAACAACAACAATAAAATTCTGTTAATTAGAAAAAAGAATGTGCAACTTTAACCTTAGCCATACATGGTGGTGAGCACTTGGGAGGCTGAAACATGAGGACCTCTTGAGTCTAGGACTTCGAGACCAGCCTGCACAACATAGAAAGACCACAACTCAAAAAAAAAAAAAAAAAAAAAAAAGTGAAAGCAAGATCTCCAAGAGATATTTGTATACCTATGTTAATAGCAACATCATTCACAATAGGCAAAAGGTAAAAACAACCAAAGTTTCCATCAATGGATGAATAGATAAGTAAAATGTAGCATATATACACAATGGAACATCAGTCAACTTTTAAAAAGCAAGGAAATTCTGATACATGCTACAATGGATGAACCTTGAGGACATTAAGTGAAATAAGCCAGCCACAAAAAGAAATACTGTTGTGATTCCACTTATATGAGGTACCTACAAAAGTCAAATTCATAAAGAAAGAAAATAGAATAGTTCTTACCTAAGCAACTTAGTGAGACCCTTGATAATACAACGTGTATATGTTAAGGAGTATAAATTAAAAAAGGACTGGGGATGTGGCTCAGTGGTTAAGAGCCCCTGAGTTCAATCCCCAGGGGATTACCAGGGGATAGGGGAAGAGGGGAATGTCGAATTGTTTATGGGCATAGTGCTTCAGTTTTACAACATGAAAAGAATTCTGGAGATAGATGGTGATGATGGTTACACAACATTAATGCCAATCAATTGCATACTTAAAAATGATAAAGATGAGCTGCGCATAGTGATGCATGCCTGTGATCACAGCAACTCAGGAGGACAGGAGGATCACAAGTTCAAAGCCACCTCAACAACTTAGCAAAGCCCTAAGCAATTTAGTGAGACCTTATCTCAAGATAAAAAAAAAAAATTAAAAAGGACTGGGGGAGCTAGGGATATAGCTCAGTTGGTAGAGTGCCTGCCTTGCATGCACAAGGTCCTAGGTTCAATCTCCAGCAACACACACACACACACACACACACACACACAACTGAGGATCTGGCTCAGTGTAAGTGCCTCCGGGTTCAAACCCTGGTACAAAAAAAAAAAAGGTAATATTTTAAATTTTATATTATATTTCACAATTAATTTTTTAAAATATATAAATTAAAACTTGATAATACAACGTGTACATGTTAAGGAGTACCCATAAAGAGAATGAAAGAGAAAGCAAATGTGGCAAAATATTAATGAGTGGTAATTTAGGAGTTCACTGTTCTTAATGGAGTTGAAGTTTTTCCAAAAAATATTTTAAAAATCTTTGTAAATATATATCCTCAAATCAAATATGATAAAATCTCATTTTTATTCTATTGTCAAATCATGTTTATAACAAATTCAAAGTTGAATGCATGAATTATTTAAGTATTTATAGTTGTAGATGGATACAATACTTTTATTTTATTCATTTATTTTTACCTAGGGTGCTGAGGATTTTTTTTTTCTTTTAATATTTATTTTTCAAGTATCGGCGGACACAACATCTCTGTTTGTATGTGGTGCTGAGGATCAAACCCAGGCCGCATGCATGGCAGGTGAGCGCACTACCACTTGAGCCACATCCCCAGCCTGGGTGCTGAGGATTGAACCCATTGCCTCACATGTGCTAGGCAAGCGCTCCACCACTGAGCTACAACCCCAGCCTACATGCATTCTTCTTTAA